TTTTGCTAAAGATGTACGCACAGATATCTACAGGAAGTACATGTTGTACATAGGTACATTTGCTGCAAAAGCTCGAGAGTCTCAGTGAACACTCCGCTCGAATCCCATTCATTGGCAGGGTCGCACTAAAGATGTCGCTGTCGATCCTCCACCTAGTTGTGCGACTACATGAGAACAGTTGGACGTGGAGGCAATTGACTAGCAAAGCTAAATGACAAAGAGTGTCTTCCACGTATTAACTTGGCTGCATCGTCGATGCCTCTCACGATCAAACGGCGACAGTTTATAATCCATGCTTGTTTTTCCCATGACTATCGCCAAGAGTCACGGGCAAACATTCGATGGAATTTAATTTTACCTTCCTGAACTTGTATTTTCCCACAACTGTGTTTAACTTTCTCAAGAGCACAACGCTGGCAAAACGTTGAAGATAAAGATAGAGTCTAAACCCCGATAAGGCCGATACCCAGGCAACGATGGCATCTATGCACTGAATGTTGTGTCGTGAGAAGTTTTTGAATTGTAAATACTGTACAATATCTGAAATTATTTTCAAAATTTACGTGTTCTGCACTAAAAGGAAAGTCACGAAGTTTCTATACCTACTGTTCTATGAGTTAAAAACACTTTTATGAAGAGATCATGTGAAAAAATCTACATCTACATCTAAAGGGCTACATTGTCATTTCGCGCAATTTGCGCGGGGCTCCGCTAGTTATATTCATAATGCATGGCATCGAGCTTCGTCGTGGCACGTTTCGGATCTAGGACAATTTGTACTTAGCTCCGTACTAAATCAAGTTTGTCATTTGGCCCCGTTCGCAAGTTCAGCGCTGAAGCGATAACTTTCCTATGTGACCCAAAATTAAAATTGAAGAAATCGTTTGAAATGACCCCAGGTTTGCAGTATCCGGGATTTAGTCCTCCACTTTATAACCAGTCTCGGAGGTTCCTGTCGGTACAGGCAGAGTAGAGCTTGCATCGCGAGTACGAGTCGAAGCACGATATCCGTAACTACTAACTCTTCCCTACCGAGGCCTGATTACCAAATAAAAGTCATTGCGAGCATTCAACGGCCAAGCTGAGCGGCATTCAAATCAAACCTCGACTTCTTTTTCTTCCAAACTTAACGTACTCTCCATTGAAAGACAATGTGGATCGTCGATCAGTCTCGTTGGTATCCTTCGGCATGGCCAACATCGTCAAAAAGGCCCATTCAAACTCCACTCACGGCAATAGGGGTTCGCTCAGTTATGACAACGAAACGTTGACTTTTCGTCCAAGGTACGTTAAATCTCGACAGTGAAACCTTGTCTTCGTTCTCGACTGCGAATGTAGAATTTTGATGGAAGTGCTGAGAGCTTTTAAAGAGATACAATAGATTTTTTTAAATAATCATCCGCCAAGAAATGATAGAGTATTTCTATGATAGCCTCATAGAAATACCCTCATAGAGTATTTCTGTGAGGGTATCACTCATGACTTTGACTTGGGGGGGGGGGGGGGGGGNCCGCGGGCCAGCCCGATCTGCCCGACACGATCCGCGGGTCGGGTCCCCAAAGTTCTATCTGGTCGGGTGCGAGCCATAAATCGGGCCGATGAGGTCGGATGTAATAAAAATTCGATCCTTGAAGGCCTACGACAAAGAGAGCGGCGTAGCGTCGGAGCGGCCCGGGGAATGGGGGGAGAAGGGTGGGGGGAAGGGACGTGTCCCCCCTTGCATTTCCAGAAAGGAAGTCAATAATAGAATAAAGAAAATACATATGACATGCATTAAAAGCAATCCTAGAGTTCGCATGCCCCCCCCCTCTCTAACACTTTTTCCAGTCACGCTAAGCTTATGAACGGAGAGATCGACGGAGAGGCAAGAAAACGTCTGGTATTATTATGCAAATGAAGGTACATAAATAATCGAGAGAGTATCTGTATCTTCGGCATCTCTGGCTAATTCGGAAAATGAGTCGTTTATCCTACGCTTTCGAGCTGTTTTGTAGGACTCGAAATCTTGTGCAATTCCGTCACGGATAGTGCAATGCTGGCGAGAGAGGGAGAGAGGAGAGAGGAGAGAGAAAAACGAATGAAAATTTAAAAGATTTGCTTCGATGTGCCGGCAAGCCAGTCACACGCGATCGATGTCCCAGAGGAAGGAAGGTGCGTGAGTCGCTTGTGCAATCCGGGGAAATCAAGGCGAGTTCCACTCGAGCTCATCCCGGAGCGGAGACGCCCAACGAGAGCCTGAGAAGGCTGTGACGAAGAGGATATAAGGAAGAGGATTCGGCGTGGGGTTTGCTCGGTCTCGGCGACTCCATCTTCGCTCGTATGCCCAGGTGAGAGGGAGGGTCCTTAAGCCCTGGAAGCCTGTCAAAGCAAATTACTCAGGGTCTTGGGATGAAACCTAATGCATGCTGAGGCAATGTCTCAATGAATCAAGAAAGAGGCTTCATTCATGGGCCTATTTTAGTGGATATTGATGGGAATATTAAGATGTGACGGACCGTCTGGCTGGCGTGGACAGTAGTACTGCAAGTGTAAAACTTGGGCAGCTATTGGTGAAATGTGAGAAACCAGACCGACTTCCAGAGTTCGTCAGGGATAGAAACTAATGAAGTTATGAATGAAAAAAATAGGGTTTTTACTGATAATTACTCTTGGAATCCATCTGTGACATCACCGGAAACGTTTAATTCCAATGGAGAATGTTCACCACATCGACATCGATGTCAATCCGCTGGATTTCCGATTCGAGGAATCCCCACGCGTCTGAAAATCAATATATCGTAATGGACTTGGCTGAACGAGAACCCTCAACCCGAATCAGGCAAGCGCACATCAATGTCCTGCACCGAATCAGGAAGGAGACGGGAAGTTTTCGCGGCTGCATCGAGCAGCCGAGGCTTTCCCCATTCGTTCCGGCCTTGTTTTTCTCCTTGGAAGACCATTCGAGTCTCAAAGTAGTTGAAGGCGTGGGGGATTCCCGAGTGGATTCAAATTTCATTCACGTCCAGGTTTCATCTGAAAGGATAAAGAAATGCTCCGGTTCCCGCGTTGATATATTGGCATGGAGAAAAGCAAGCCCCCGGATTTCCGAGTAATTTTTTTTTTTTTTTATAGCAATTTCCTGGGATTATATCGTCGCAAAAGCCTTTTCCTTCCTTTCATTCGTGTCTTGACTTATGATCTGGATTTGAAAGGTGGCACTTTCCAGGAAGTGAATCATACTGTTGCTAGGGTCTTCGATTTTCCACTTCTGATGCACCTCATTTTACTTCATTGGATTTCTCCGTTTTTTTTTTTAAATATATATTTCCTCCCTTTCTTTAAATCCTTTTATGTCTCCCGCTTTTTTTTTAAATGATCCTTTCATGCTTCCCTTTTTTTTTCATCCTTTCGCAGCCTACTGACTGAGAGCCACAGAGGGTATTTCAGATTAGGTAAAAAATATAGAGTGTTGAGGAAATAATTCACCTTTCCATCCTGGTTTGATGATGAAAATTATGTCTTTAGGCTAAACATTACCTTTTGTTAAAGCCCGATGCAATCCTATAAGATCATTTTTAAGCCTAAAAATCCAACAGGATTCCTATTGGATGCGTCTTATTGATTTTCTATATTGCTTTTTCGTTAGGGAACTAGGATGAACCTTTCCTTACCTTTTCTCCACAAGGAGATGATTTGATATGATTTGCTGTGTCTCAACGCATCTCTTCGCAAGCGAATGTGACTTAAACTGTCTTCAGTTGCTTTCCTCTTCACCTGGTGTGGGCAGAGGAACTGAATCATGTCGCCGAGCAACATTTCAGACTGCTTGGAATTCATCAAGGACATCTCCGCGTGGCCCTCTTTAGTGGGTACTTTTGGTGGTTACTTCCTTTGCAAAGTCGAAGAGACCATCTTTTCTTGCATCACATCGTTTGCTGGTCCTATTCGTAATTTCTACCGTTTCCAACTTCATTGGCATGGTTAATTTTTTTTTTAGAGTTGATACATGCGACCTGTGTCGCACGTGTCAACCATGCGACAACAAGAAGGATCTCGTCTTGGTTGAGCTCACAAACCGACTCTTTGTCAGAGACGATCGCACGTGGTTCGAGTCCTTGCGAGCAACCCGAGGCATCGCCATGGGTGCCTCCGCTTCTGGATCCTGGATGCACAACCCCCCAAGGGTCGTGATGTCCTCCAACGCGTCCGGCTCCTACATCCAGACTCGCGGGGGAGTTATCATGTCCTCCTCCCCGTCTGGGTCCTTCATCCAGACGCCAGGGGGAGTGATCGTGTCCTCCACCCCTGCTGGATCCTGGATGCAGACGCCCTCGGGAGTCGTCGTGTCCGCGTCCGATCTGGGATCGTACGTCCGAACTCCCTCGGGGGTCGTCGTGTCCAGTTCCCCGTTCGGATCTTGCATCTGCAAGCCTTCGAGAGTCATGATGTCCGCCACGAGGCATGGATGCTTCGGTCAGAACGGCGCCGATGTGGGAACAAAAAAGGAGTGCTTCGAGAGAGGAGGATTTCCTTCGTGGAAGATTTTCCGAGTCGGTATGAATATTTTTTATATATAAATGTTCTAGACTTTCGGATCGATGACGTACTAATTGAATTTCGTATTACCAGTTCCATGTCCCAGTCAAGAGAAGGAAGAGGTTGAAAAAGACTTACAAGGATCAAAAGGAACATCCGTAAGTTACTCGAAACGTATCCTCTCGCGACCTAACCTCAACGTATGTGTACACCATTTAAATCTATCATTTCTTGTATCAACACATGCATGATACTAGCCTCAGACTACGACCTGTGTGAATCGAGTTGAACCGAGTCTGAGAGAACGCAAACAACCACACCGACTGTCATAACCGGCGACTCATTCGCCGTGGACGTGTCCCCCAATATGAGCCTCGCGACCGAAGAGTTCATTGAAATGAAGTTGTTGATGAAATTCATATTCATCAATCTCAAATCATTTGTGATTCAAACGTGATTTAGAAGGAATGACCTTGATAGGGTACGAGCAACAAATTGCCCAGGCACACTATTAAAAAAAAAACAATTCGTAAGTCATCAAATGAAGGATAAGTCTTTCGCGCCATTTTTAAATATTTGCAATCGCATGTTGGCACTGTGAGATTCATCGACTCCATTTCGTTTTTTGCCAAAAAATCCTAATGCGCGATATGAAAAAGACGCAGTAGCAAAACGCGTTAGTTCCCATCTGCTCCTGCGTAATTTTGCGAAACAGATTTGACGTAACGATCTTCGCTAAATTGAGAACTTTTGCTTTCCCGATTTCTTAGCTACTGAGGGACTTTTGCAGATTAGCCACTGCGATATCTGTCGATTCGAAAATGGCGAATGCGCTGGAGAGGCGGTACCAAAATCTGGATTACCGAAACAGTCGCTGTCGACACCGTGTTGCCATACTCATGCGAGAGAAAATGGCATTTCGGTTTTGCTGATGAATTTGCAAAACACATGCCGTATTTGCTTGAGAAAAAGTGTCCCTTCCCGTACCAATAAGAGACTTTGAAGACTGTTCGTTGAAACTACACAGAATATTCGCATTGCAGGTTCCAGAAGAGGTGTTACGACCGCCTGCGGAATCCCCTCCGACACCCCAAGGTCAGAATCGGCATTCGCCGCCAATAAGTCATTAACGCGACCAAACTGCTCATCGGGGCAGTTTATTTTTAAATTGGTTCAGTGATTCCACTGATGAATTCCCTGGCCAAGTGAAATTCCAGGCTAAGAAATGATTACACAATCTCAATGGCGTCATTTGAAGGACTTCCAAAAGATTAATCCGGTTTTTACAATTATCACATTTCTCAAAAACGATTCACGGATTCCTCATGGAATCATCAAGGAAAAAAACTTGTATTTACCGGGTGCTTCAAAAGCCACTGTTAACGCTGCCACGGGGAGCATTTAGTCGGACTTAAAGGTTCCAAAATCGGCCTGTGAATCAATTTCACGACGTGAAAGACGATGCACTCGTGTCCGCAATGTCCAAATAAAGTGTTCATTGATGTTCAACACGACACGAGAAGCACTTCCCGAGGCACGTAGCGAACTGCCCCAAAAAGCCTGAAGTCTGCTGGAAGGCTTTGCGGGCCAGGGTTGCTCGATGTGTCGGTTGGTCTCGCGCTCTCCAAAAGCGGCCATCGCGTTTTGCTGGGTTTGCCACGTTTGATGTCGGTTTCAGTTTCAACCATTTTACAGACTCGTTGAAAGCTGCTTCAATGGGCTTTGCGACGATAGACTTTATGCTCGAAGGTACCATGTTGTTGCAATATCATCAAAACTCATGACGAGATTCCATGCATTGCCTTCCCAATGGTCAAATCGGCTTGCAAGAGTTTCGCAACACTGGCCATCGGTATGCTCGCTGTGGTCATCTAAACGGTGATAATGATTTTTTTAAACGCCAGGTATTCTTCACTTCGCTTCTATACCATAGCTACCAAGTACGATTTCCCTGAGGAAAGTGACTCGATCGACATTGGGTGGGGATTTGGATTTCTTAAATCCCCGACAGATTTGCCTTCAAGGGAAGGCATACCTCCTTCCTTCCCCCCCCCCCCACTCCCCCCATTTTGTGTTCTCAGACACATGTGACTTCGAATCTCTATTAAGTCTTGAGACTTTTTCAGTCTCATCCGGAGGAACAGAGTGGCGTCACACCAATCCGCTGCAGAATCGAAGTTCTCTTCTGCAAAATTCTTCCTTTTCAGCTGGAGCTGCAATGCGAATGATAAAAACTCTCTTCATTTTTTTTTCGCGATGATTCAAAGCAAGAATTATTGGGTCGAGCCTCTCCGTCCAGATAGACCAGATTAATGGCCTAAATGTACAAGTTATATTTGAAATGAATGTAATTCCGCTGGCACCACGAAGCATGGGAACCCTGGAAACAATGAAACCCTGGGAACAAGAGAACCCTGAATCATTTCATTTCTCTGTACTTCGTATGCGGCATACTCATATTTGATGAGCATGCGGCATAACGATGCCCACGATGAGCGCAGGAGGAGCATTCCATAATGTGGCTGTCTCGACCTTTATCGAAGAGAAAGATAGATCATCTGTCTGCGCCTTTTTGGCACGAATGCACTTAGCCCCTAATTAGACGTCTGGGTTTCATTTCCCGAGGGGGACTGCAGCTGATGGCTGTCTCTTCCCGCGAGGATTCTTCGATGTCGCGGTGACAGCGATAGGAAAGAAAAAATGCTAAGAAAAAATATATGCATACAGTCGACGCTCGGGATAACGAATATACAACGAATTTTCTTTATTAATTTTTTTTTCAAGTTCCTGGCCGTTTGCTCATTCACATCCATTTTGAAAAGAGTCGAAGTTCTGTACAACGAATTGTTCAATATTACGTCCGAAGGAGGAGAACTGTTCCATATTACGAAGTTTAAATCTTCGTTATCTCAAGTCGTAATCTCAGGTCGAGTCCGGAATTCTGCTCGGTGGAGCATAAAAATTGACTGCATATTCTCATCAATGCGAGATCCTCTTTTCCGAGCTTTTCATTTCCCATGTTTGGCAATATCCGTGAAATCTGCCAGATGGTCTCGTTGAAATCGGTCGAAGTGAAAACTGGTCTGATTCGCGAAAAATTCTTTTCAAAAGCTTCAGAAGGAGGAAATGAATATTTAGACTTAGGTCCAGTGACTTAAGCCTAGCGACTTAAGTTTAGTAACTAATGACTCTGAGAGTAAGGAAAAGTAGTAAATGAAGGAAGAACGGATTTTCATTAATCCATGTGCGTAATCAGTGTCTGGAATTACTTTTTGCAGAAAGATTTTTCCTATCATTCCTCTGAACGATTTAATGAAATCTCAGTATATTTAATCTTCCTTTTTTACTTTGAAAACTCACAAAACGCGATGATTCGTGTCAAATTCAATGCAAAATTTCTGTGGGAAGTTTCATCCTGCATCCCGTCGTGTTAAGTTGTTTTTTTTTTATATGAAGGAGTTAATTTCAGCATTTTAAGTTTCGGACTTATCGCAGAACATTTGAAGAGCTGCAAGCAAAAGTGGTTTTCCTGCATAATGTAAAAAATAAAACATAACAAACAAAATCGGGTGAAATAACGGTTGATTTCATGCACATCGACGCCTTTTTCTTTCGTGACAATAGTTCGTGAGACTTACGGAATAGAAAAACAGGTCTATCTATCTCAATTCCTAGCTCTGAATCTGAGTCATTTTCACTCGGTTGGAGCAGAGGGAGGTTAAGTTGCGGCCTGGTTGCGGCCCGGTTGCGGCTGGATTCCCAATCCGGGCTGGATTTGACGATTTTTGTTGTCGCTGTCATGAGGAAGCAGGGAATGAGTTAGGCTTTTATTACTGTCTTCGGTCGGATTTTCTCCTTTTCGTCAGGCGAACTGAAGCTGTGATACTCGCTATTTTGCGCCGATGTTTTTTTTTTTTCAGTCTTTCCTTTTGTCTGACTCCTTATTTGAAAAGATATGAGAGTGCGGCACACATAAGACGTCACACGCATCCATGCATTCGCTGTCAAACGCTCGATTAGGGACAATAGGGAGGAGCGAACGAAAAGCGGAAAGAGCGGAATAATGTTGGCTTGAACAAATAAATTCTTGGCTACTATGATCCCGTGAAGGATGGCCGGAAATCCAATTTACTTCTCTTGCGCTCAATAGAGCCGCCTTTACATTTATAGGGCTTTTTCGTAAGTTCCAGGATTCTTATTACGTGTTCCAAGCGCGATTTCTCGTTCTCCAGGCTCTTCTCGCCAACCCCCTCGTCTTGCCAAATCGTTACGCCTCCCAAAATCACATGTGCACAGGTGAGAGAGGCCCAGCCAACCTCTTCGGGTTCTTCTGTTATTCTTGGCAGCGGCGCTTGCTATTGGCTGCTGAGAAAGGGTATCGTTGGGAAATGCAGCACCCCTCCCATGGAAGAAGAATTTATCAATACATGCAGAAAATTCTCATATTCGTGACACCTTTCTTCTCCCTCTTTCTCTTTTTTAATTCTCCTTATTAACTGTCGCTTGCACTATTAGCAAAAAAGGGTTCAACTTTTATCCCATAAAGGGTGTTTCAACTGCAACTCATATTTATCCCTTGCAGGTTACATATTATGCCTTTTTGATAGGCTAAATAAAAAATCATTTTTAAAAAGGGTTAAATAATAAACTGACCTAGATTAATATGTAACCTTACTAGTATACATCATGAAGATGAGAGACTTTCCTCTAACCCAATAGAGGGATCTAAATGTTAGACCCCCATTTTATCACCCAGTCTTTAGGATGAACGAATTCGGGAGTGCTTTCAGGGGCACACAATTCTTTATAAGATACAGTTCTTCTATGTGGAACAAGATCACTTGTTTATGTATGTGCTACTGCTTGTGATGACAAGCTTCTTTTGGTCTAAGATCTAGGAATCTGTAGTAATATGGGAATAGTAAATGAGGAAGTGTTCGCTTTTATTACTACGTATAATGAGGCAATGCGAGACACAGGATGAGGTGATATAATGCAATTGTGAGAGAAATTCCCGGGAAAGAGTGAAGGGCTATTCTTTGTACTGTGGGAAACGGTAGCTCCATAACTCCATCATGAGGTCTAAAGGGGAACTTTGCATTACACCAATAACCCTTGCAGTGTCGGTGTTTCACTGTCAGTGAAACAGTGGTGAAACAGTGGTGTTTCTCTGTCTTCTATACCTTTTCTACTGTTTTACCCTGAAAAGGTTAAAACCCATACTCAGTTTGGTAACATCCGATCCCTATGAAGAACTATCTCGTTGCGGATAAATATGCAACCTCAAAAAGGACATATTTATTCTTTTTCATGTGGATCACCCACTCGTGGTTATACCCCGCTCAAAGTGTTGAATATCAAAACCTTCAGATCGAAAGGGATAAAAATTTCAGAGGAGGTTCAATAAACATCTAAATAACCCTTTGAGATAGTGTTTTTCCGGCATTTAACCATTTATTTTCTATTTAATCACCAAAAGATATACCCTGAACTCTTTTTGCTAACAGTGTACCCAAAATTTTCGATGGGACCAATCTGTATAGGCTGGAATTCGTCCCCACCTCTTCGCTTAGAGCGATTCAGAACGATACGTCCAACTGCGTAAACGTACCTGACTGCAACCCTGAAATATCTTCGATTATCGGCGAAGAGAACACTTCATCACGACGGTCGCACGTACCCGGTATGTACTCGGTATGTACTTCGTATGTCCCCAGGAGCAGAGGCGGGGTCCCAGGTGGATGCCCCAGCCGAGGACGACGGGGACAAGTGCATCATCTGCTTCGCTCCGTATGACCTCCTCCACCCCATGGTCGCTCTCCCTTGTGGACACTTTTACGGCCTTCCCTGCATTCACGACTGGATGGCGAGGAAGCAGGAATGCCCGCTGTGCAAACGGCGCGCTGTCTTCCCAGATATCGTCCGGATGCAGAAAAGCCCTTAAGGTCGCGAAGGCTTGTCAGAAACCCGCAATTCCAATTCTTTTCGTCAGTTTCGCTGAGTTATACAGACATTTTTCTTACAGTATTTTCGAAACACTGCACTGTACTTTTCCCCGTTGAGATGCTCGTCCTTAGGTGTTCTTGTTCGTATTCCAGCCTCGAGCAATTTGTGTTTGGCGGATCGCGTAATTTCTTTCAATGGTCGGGACGGTTCCGGGGAAGAATGGAAAACTCTCTGGATCTTCGAAATTGTGATTTCGACTTACAGTGCCGCATTCACATGCTCGATGTTGGGACCACGCAGGCCGGCACCATTACACTTGGAGATTCAGAAGTATTCCGATTCCAATCACGAACGGTTGCACGAACTTTTTCCCCCTCGATGTTCCTTGGAGAATTCGTGCATGAGTGGGAGCGACACGCATCACGACTTACTCGTTCCACGAGAGTAGGCGTGCCGTGCAACCGAGCTTTTAGCAATATTGGCATCTCCAGTCTGTGTTAGTGATCAACGAAAGCAATGACTACATCAAAAGTGTCATCTTGCCCTTTGGAAGAATTTGTATTTGTATTTGTTAGCCATCGTTGGAATGTGCCGCTTGAAAAAGATGGAAGAATTGAGAATGGAGCACGTTCAAATATCTGTCAAATATTGTCCTTCGGAGATTTTTGTTGTTCGGTTATTGTGATCAGATGATAAGTAGTCATGTAGGGGGCTCTATTGACGAGATGCCCTCTTTCTTGCGAAGAGCACTCAACCTGTTTGTCTATTTACTAGTCAGATTGATTAGATGGGATTTTATTTCAATTTTGACAGTTATTCAAATTATCCTGTTGTCTCCTGATATCTCATTATCTCATCGTGTCTGGGACCTCTGGAAATACAAAATTCGTCTGCGCTTTGTTCTCTCCATCTGGCATAGTGTGTTGCTATCAGTTATCGGCCTCTGTAGTCACGATTTTGTTGACTGCAGTGGAACTTGCCATGCGAACTCACTGCATGATCAATATACGAGTTTCAATGGCCCACAATCATAATGGGGGAATGACCAGGGATGTTGGACGGAAAGGCACTGGGAGGAGGCAGGCCTCGCAAGCTTCACTTCCTCCAACTGCTGCTTCACCACATTCGCCGTTGACATTCTGCCGTAGACTTCCTCTGCGAACAAGTTCACTGTTCAATTAGGCCCCCACCAACGGTCTTTGGTCATCAGACGCGCCTCGAATTCTGCACGCGAGATGGTTTGCACGATGATACGGAAACTCAGGTCGTCTACTGCATCACCTCAGTGGAAGCTACCCCCTGGGAATAGCCATGGTTTGTTCAAACTGAGGCTTAGAGCCAGTTGGTTCAAACATAATGAATCCGTCTGACAGAGGCTGCTTCTAAAATTCCCTCTGAGTAGATGTTACTCTTTTCTAAATACCTATACACAACTTCATTCACAGTCATTCGTTCTTTTACTTTTTCTTTTGGGAGCATCAGCTAATAATTCCATCTCCCAGCTCCAAACGGGTAACTAAGAATTCAACACAGCGGAATCCCTGACAGCCATGTGCAGGACCGGATTAAGGGGGGGGGGGGGGGGTGTTGCCCCGGGCCCCACTCTTCCAGAGGGGTCCCCCAAGGAAATTAAAAACGTTAAGTATTTGCGTTAAGCAGCGGGGGGGAAGGAAGCCCTAGGAATTCACTTGCCCCGAGCCTCGCAACTACTTAATCTGGCCCTGGCCATATGTTACATCCCACGCATGCATCCCATCTCATGCGACACTTTCAGCTTTATGCCCTGAAGGAGGCTGGCATATACAGGTATTCCATAGCGTCCTACGTCCGCCTAGTAGCTAAGGGGCGAGCGAACAGTGCCGTAGGGAAGGGGGGAGGGGGGATTTGGGGGGTTAAAACTTGGACTTCTCGGTCAGTGACACTGACAGGCGTATTTCAACCTTCTTTGGGAATTCCAATTTTAACTATGCTCCTTCTAGGAGAGTCTGACGTCCGTCCACAGACCCAAGATGCAAGACCATAATTTCTTTGAAAAGGTAAATTCCGGGTAGTGGAGCTAGGCGCAGGTTTAGGGTGTCTACCCGGCCTCAACCTCCCCCTTGTCGATTTTCTGTTCACGCCACTGCGAACGAGGATTGAGAAGTAGGAGAGGGGCTGAAGCCCTCTTTGTATACCGCTGGAGATAGATACATTTATATAACTATCCAATTACATCAGGCACAGGTGACCCCTCAGTGTTAAAACCACAAGGCTGGAAAAATTGAAGATTCAGCAACAGTGTGCGGCTTGCCCGCCATTTCTTTATGTAGTGGCGCTGGCTTTGCTGGACCAGATCGAAGGCCTCGGCAGGCCTGCCGGGGTTTAAGTTTGATTTACCTTAACTGAAAAAAGAATCCAAGAGGAACCTGATGGCTGACAGAGTACATCACGAGAGAGTAGTAGTAAAAAATCTAATTACGGTAATGAACCTCTCTTGCCAAAAAGGCATCAGTAATCAGCCAATGACCACATTTCGCAACACTGCACATATAGTAAGGTGCAAGGTGAATATGTGCCTGAATAGGTGTCTACTCTTTTGTTGCATGCCAAAATTACGTAAAAATAAACCATCGTGAAGGCTAACTCATGGCGAATAGAGGGATATGACGGTCTTTTATTCTTACGTGCAGCTAGGGAGAAAGAAAGAGAAATGCGGTTAATGCACGTTTTCGCGGTTTGCTGAGCCGGAGGCAGTGTTTCAATATGGAGTCTTTCCATCGTGTTCCCGTCCGCGTGTCAGCGATCCAAAAATCAGCCTCCGACTTACTGCCCCCCAAATCAGTCTTGTTTAGTTTGGTGATCGTTAACTGGACTAATGTTGTGTAGACTGGACTGGACTTAACTAAGCTGAATTGATTTGGTGTGCAGGAGCCCTTAGCGTTGTATCTGTTCCGCTGGGAGTCACCCGGCTCGGAAAGGTAACCGTCTTTAGAGCGAGAGTTAATCGAGAACGTTTTCGCTTCCTTTATGTAGCATAGAAGCCGGTGAAATTCCATAATTACTTATTACCGTTAGGCCTTACTTTACGTAATGTAACGTTTGGCTAAACGCTAAATTATTAGTATTAGGCCTTGGCACGGAGTCAGAATTAACACAGGTTTCTTTAAACTTTCACTTACCCCAAGGTTAGGCCAAGGCTAAATCTTATGCTCAGGCATAGGCATACCGGGCTATTCTCAGCAACAATTACGTGCAATTAGTCAGTGGGACAACTTTCCATGTGGACGGTTTACCAAATGCCCCTGGCCAACTTTCTGCTATTCGTCGGATAATACCGACAGAAATAGCTATTTCGGTCTCCCAGAGACCTGACGTAATATCTATATCGGTTTAATGTGCTGAGCCTGTTTGAACAAGTGCAGAGTGGTTCCTAACATGTTGAAAGTTGAATTCTTAGTTCAATGTGACTAACACCATTGCTTTGAAATATATACTTGGCATAGTATTTAGACATGGAAGAACATGTTTTCTCCCATCAAGTGCTGTGTCCATCCATTATCCAGGGGTCATGTAGTTACAGCTTTATAAGCTGTTACTTGTGGCCTCCTTAGAGGCATGGGATGGTTAATTGACATTTGCCTTGGTTTTGACACTTTGATTTGTTGCAGTTGTGACTTGAGACACAAGGGGGCCAAACATGGTTGAGAAAACTCCAACGATTCCGCAGGTAACATCAGACCTTTCTATGCCTCTAGGTTCTCAGAAAAATGTCTTCAGGAAAATGTAAATGTATTATGTGATACGTATGCATTAGAACTATGAAAAAATTGGGGTTTTTAATTGAAACTGATGCATGTGTGTCTTCAAGTACGACTCCTCAGTGGGAAATTGGTAAGATAGTGGCTTATGGCATGGTTATAAATTCTGCATCAGGGTAATACTTTTACTCTTATCACACTTTGCTAGTATAAGCTGATGTCTCTGCTGCCCAGCAATGCTGTCTGCATATTTTCCTGGATGAAAGGTGACATTTGCTAAAAAAAAACAAACACCCACCATGTGCAGTAGAAAAGTTATTATAATATACACTACTTTCTATAGTTCAAAGCCACTCATTATTCACTGACAGATGACTTTACTTTTGAGGTCAATATAGAGTCACATGTTCATTGAGTAAGATTTTGAACTTTGACATTTTTTCAAGTGATTTTTGAACCCCATTTAGATTTATTCCACAGAAGCAAAATTAGAAACGATTATTAAAAAAATAGAATATAGAATGTACATATATTTCTACGTATTTACAGGTAAGGTTAGAAGATGAAGGTTAGGACAATGACACAAATGAAAGACAATGATAAAAAAAAAGGTAGAGAGAAGGAAGAAATAGAAAGCAAATGCAAATAGTGGGCTATAAGGCCATTCATTGAACCCAATTGAATTAGCTGTGGACGGCCAGGTTGGGACATAACAAAAGAGTAATTAAATTATTGCCTTTTTTTTTTTTTTCAAGTGGATCTGATCAGCCAATTAGGGAAGGAGCTGGTTTCTACAATAGATTCTTTTCATGAAAATAAAAAAATAATTTAGCTTGAAAGATTTGGATTGATTTTGCAACCTTTATCCTCAGGCAGTTCATTAAATATTCTTAGTCTTCATCATCATCAAGTTAGTTTTTTTAATATTGATTGTGTGCTGGTTTGCCTTAATCCATCTACTCTAAGTCTTTCTCCATGCCAATTGATAACTCTAACATTTCTCCCATAAAAGAAAACATTTGGGTCATTGCATATAATTTCAAGTCTCCTTCAATTGAAGAGTTATAAATGTCATTCATATGTATGAGGTAAAGTAATGAACCTATGATAAACCCCTGAGAAAATCCCAAATTGACCAATCTTTTAGTGCTTTTAATTCCATCAAGCTCAACATACCGGTACCTATTAGATAAGTAATTTTGAAAGTAGGAAAAATCAAAATGTGGTCAGGGCACCTTTGTGCTATGGCTTGAGGATATGTATTGAATACCATATTTGAGACATTCGTTGAAGTTTATTCTTTGGACTAACTTTTTCATTTTTTATTTCCTCCTCATATGTATCTATTGAATTTATCATTTGTTCTGAGTGATTGCTCATGGCCTTGCTTTGATTGAACTAGTTTGGATAACTTAGGAAATAGATGTTGAGAATGGATCAGTCAATTGTCGGATCACCATGCATGTATAGTGCTAGCAGATCCATTAAGGACAGAGATAATTGATTTAAGGGAATGTTTCTTGTCAATTTTGCAGTAATCACCAGAGAGTTCAATTTTTTTGTTTTGTTTTTTTGGAACAGGTTGTTGAAGCAGTGAAAGGACTGAAGGCCAGAAGAAGAAAAACAAAGGATCTTCTGGCTGAAGATGAAGGAAAAATATTTCTTCAAATTGGGTCCTTCAGATACCCTAAGAAATTGGAGACAATTAGAATGTGAGTCAAGTAAATTTCCCACTGTTAGCCTCAAGCAGTGCTATTCAGAAACTGAAGTATGAAATAACTGCTTAATACCTACTTCAATTTCGTCAAAAATTTTGAGACACCATCATTCTTCTATTTTGCCACCAATTAAATTGAGCATTCAGGCCTATGTGGATATGGCTGCAGCTTTTGTTAATAGTATTATCATGTACTCTTTTTCTCACTCCTTTTTGATCAAACCAAGAAGTTTCCAGATAGTTGCAGCAGCTGTATCTATCTCAAATCCAGCCATAAACAGGGGAGTTTGCAGTTCAAATAAGGCTGCTTCCTTTAGGAAATAGGAACTTACTATTATCCAGTTCATTCCTTATGAAAAATTCCAGCAGCAAAATGTTATTGAAGTTTATCAACTACATGCTGAAAACAATGCAGCTTTCAGTTATGATCAGTCCAGCTTGAGGTATTGGATAAATTAGCAGCACCATTATCATCCCTGTAATTTTTCTGGGGAAAGATAATGGATTATTCCGTGTTGTTGACATGATGGGCAATATATTTTTTGTGGAGATAATGGTGATTTGCTGAGGTTCTCATCCAATTTTTTATATTTTTTACAGTAATTTACCATATCCCTATTATGGGAATGGATCATGGCCTGAAGTGTGCCTTTTTGTGAGGGATCTCAAGAAGAAAGCTCGACATGAAGATGACGATGACACCATTCTCCATTTCCAGAAGCTCTTGCAAGCAGCAGGAGTTGGAAATCTTATTTCCAAGGTGAAATTATTCAACTACCCATCCTTTGAATCCATAAAGGCTCCTGTAATTGGAATAATATTGACCATCATCATCCATTCACTTTTTCAACCATGAATTGTGGGCTTTTTTTTTTCCCTCCATACATGTGGAGGGGATAGGTTTACACTAACTTTAGAAACTGAATAGAAGAGAGTGCCATGCAAAATCTCATTGAAATTATTTTGACTTGTTTGAAAATATATATTATTTGATATTAAAAACTCTGAGATTCTGATGAATAGGTCCACATGGTACAGAGAAAGAGATATACTACCATGCTATATAGCATTTGTGAGCCCCCTAGGGGATGGCTGATTATTTAACACAAAGATTAAATTTTATTTGTTATTAATTTTATTTTGAATTGTGTCCATGTCCTTCCAATAGATCATTCCTTATCATCAGCTGCGAGTTGAGTATGGGCATGTTCGGTTGAAGGAGGCATTGTGCAGCCAGTTTGATGTCTTCCTAGCTGATGGATCCATTGCACACCGTATCCCTTCACTCCTTGGCAAGACTTTCTTTAAGCGCAAGAAGTATGTGGGCCATTGGGCTAAAAGCTTGGATCCTGTGCATTAGAATTGCTTACTGACTCATATTGTATTTTTAGGCTGCCAGTGAGTGTGAAATTGGAGAGAGGGAAACTGGAGAAGGTTTTGAAAGGTGCTATACAGGGAATCCAGCTGCCCATCCTCTCATTCCGGGCTGACTCTTTTCTCACTCAGGTAAAAATTTATTTTGGTGTTGTATTCATGTATTCAACAAGTCAAATCAGTGAAACACTAAATCCAGGAATATGTGCAGGGTATGGCATTGAATAAGGCCCCTGAAGTAAAAAAAAAATTATTGTTTTACTTGAGCTGTTTTCTTGAAACTTGTACCCTCTACATAGGCTGATATGTTCCCAACCATCTTTTCTTTTGAATTTCTTTCAAATAAATTTGCCAAGGCAAGGCCATAAGTAATTATCCAAAAGAAGCTGTATTTTGAAGATGGACTTGCACTATTTGAATGGAGGAAAAGTATCCACTCTTGGGTTGCATGCCATGAAGGAATAGGTAATATGAAAGGTTTGCTCAGTGTTTCTTTAGATTTTTCTCTCTGACATGGGAAGAGGTGACAGGCATGGTCCAGTAGAACTGAAGAAACCAGAGTCCCAATTTCATTTACCAAGTTATTTTGAAAGACTGCTGATGGCTTTGCTCCAGCAGTGTAAATTGGATGAAATTTCGTGGATCTGTTAAGAACATCTTATTCTACCCACAGAGCAAGTGTAGTAGAAGTAGCTCAAGTAAGTGCAGCGAGAACTAGTTGTTGAATTGTTGGTTACATGGTAACACTTGGTTACACTTTATATGGATTTTAAACAACTCCTACTTATTGTTCTGCCAGCATTGGGCTTCATCTGGAGGGTTCCTTCTACCTTCATTATCATTTTTGAAAATGGGATGATTTTAAGGGGTTCTTCTTGTGGCCATTAGACAGACCTCACAAAAATTTCAAGTAGGATAGAGGATAAAAACTAAAAGAACCTTAAACTGTTTTTATGCCCTTGTAATGTTCTATATGAAGTTTTATTCTCTTCTGCAGGTTGGGAAATTGAATCAGACTAATGAAGAACTTGTGGAAAATATCCTCTCTGTGATTGGAGGACTGAGGGAGAGGTTCCCAGGTGGCTGGCATAATGTGCGCAACCTCTACATCAAGTCCGACTCCATGAATGTCTCAATTCCCATCTATATCTCATTGGGTATGATTTATATATTGTGCATGCTCTAATTGATCATAGCATTACATTTCATTGTTGTCATCTTTGAATTGATCTTTTCTAATTCTAACATACTTTAAAGGTTAAATATACCTATGAATCCTTTTTTTCTCCTTGTGAAACTAAATGCTAATACATACTTCAAGATTATAAGATGTTGTTTGTCTTTGAGTTGTTTCAATTATAGCTAATTGGACATTGACCATAATTCAACATCTCCTTGCCTTGTTTGCCGAATCAATTTTCCCAATAATGCATCATATATGAGGTGGTTCAGCATAAGGTGTGCTGTCTTCTAATGGTCTGTTAGAATGCCAGCCAGCCAAATCCAAAAAAATAAAAACATTTTGGATATTCAGCGTTATCTGATAATGCAGCTTCATTTCAGAAAAAATGCATCAAATTTTCTGAAAACAATGCTGCATTTTAATTAGTTCTCAGTTCAAATATCTACCAGACCAAATATCTAAATATTCTAACAGACGTGTACTTTGAAAAAGTCTACTCTCTTTCCGCTATTGGATAGAAAGAAATGTTCAAACTCCTTTCCCAGATGGAAATGATAAGAGTTGACTCTTTGAAGCACATGTGCACCCTTTTTCTAAGAAAAAGAACATGCTTAATTTATGGATAATTTATGGATTAAGTGACTATGTTTGACTTGGAAAAAACGTAATTTAGGCAAATAATTTTTGTCCACATTTTCAATTACTTAATCAATGTGCAATGGTATTAAGTGAAGCTAAGCTCTATGCACGAGAGGGAAAAGTCTCAGAAAGGTGGTTACATACAGGACTACCACCCTCCAAAGAGAATAAGTTGCAAGGTCTGCAGAAAAATGGGGGCAAATTGAATTTGCACTTGTCAGGATGGCATGCTGATACCCATATACCATATCTTAAATTGCAATAAAATCTGGGTGCCATTAGCATATGGTAAGGTTATGTTTCAGTAAGTTGAGTCTTCTGGTTAATCCAGTCTGTATTTAGAATTTGGGATGTACTATGTCTCTAATACCAAGTGAAGCAAAAAAATGCAATGCTCATTGAATATTTGTGACATCTCTGAAACAGCAGCTAGCTCAATGAAGTTTCTTTCATCCACACACTTATGAATCCTTTGAGCATCCAAAAATTATTACTAATTTATCCCTGGCACATGAGTGAGATTACAAATGCAACTGGAGTAAAATTTTGCACTTGTGCCTTGATGCTGATAGTAGGACCTGCCCCACTCACTATCAATTTCAATTACCCCAAGTTATCATCTTGAGAAACAATGACATGTTCCACATGAATGCTGTTTCCTCCAGTTCCCATTCTTCTGCTCCTTCTCTTCCATTCCTTTGAACCAGTTTCTTGCAGCTTGTAAATCAATCTCATAACAATAGGGCTACACTTCTTCATCCCTTTCCAGGAAATTTATTGCAAAATTTTGCCCACCTCAACCTCTCACAAAGAGCAGCATTTTGATGAGCAGATGGAGGAGCTCTAGCCTGAGTTGTCTGTGCTCCACATGCTCTCCTACTCTTCTGATGATACATTTCCTCATGCAGAATTAAAATTTGAATTGCCTTTGTGTTTTTGCTCCTGTGCAAAAATGGCTGGAGAGAAATAAAAAAGAACTTTAGGATGTATGAAGCACATATGGAAGTTGCTGAACAAAGAATTGCCATGCTATCTGCTACCTCATGAGCTCCAAAGAATATCAAAGAGCAGTGCATTTTCTTTGCCTCACCTAGTATAACCATCCAGAAGGCAAAGCATGAATAAATAATCATTCTCATCAACGGTCTTTATTTTTTCTTTTATAGGATCACGAAATAAAGTGGAGGTGCCAGATGTCAAGGAGGAGGAAGTAGAGCCAGTTGTAGGAGAAGTGGGACATAAAGTTGTTGCCATCTACCCAGATGGGCAAGTGCAGGTGATTCGCTCAAAGGATGAAGATGATGATGAAGAGAGTGATGAAGAAGACCCCAAGAAGAAAAGTAGAAGAAAAAACCTTGGCAAGGAAAGCCAATTAGTTTTGAATAGGAAAGGAATTCCAATGAAGAAGCACAAGTTAAGTAAGGCAAAAGAAAGGAAAAGCCCTTCACATGAGGGAACCTCAGCATTTATCACTGAGTCTGTGGTGGACAAAGATGAAGACCAGAAAATGGGAATAGAAGAAAAGGGTGGCAAAATGTCACCATTGAGCTCATATTCTACGAGGGGGGATTCCCTTAACATTGGCAGCCTGCAGAACAGAAAGAAAAGGAAGCTGGGTTCACAAATTAGTGCGAATAAAGGAATCAAACTGGGGGATCTTGATGACATAAGCCTTTCACAGGAGGCAAAGGAAACTCTTCCCTATGTTAATGGAGTTGCAGCAAGAAAGGTTGAAAAGAGAAAGAAAAAGAATGCTTGGAATACTTGGGAGGTTACTCCAAAGCAGTCAACAGAGATAAAGGTAGAAGGGAAACGATCACTGGATGAGGTTTCTCCACAGATGCATTCATCTCTGGTTGAATCTCCATTGCTTGCCACAAAGGCTGAGCAAGTGCCAAAGAAGGGGAAGAAGAAAGTAGAAATTCCTTCATTGGAAAAGGCAGTCAAAGAAGTAAAAGAGGTGGAGCATGAAAACCACTTGGAAGTTCTACGTCAGTCGTCTATAGGTCGACGTCATTTCAAAGGAGTCCAGATTCCTATACAGAAGAAAAAAATGAAGAAACCAGGAAAGGGACTGCATGCATCTTTCTCAGTGTTGGATACGATTTCTCCCTCCACCAAGGGAATCTTGAAGGCTACATCATTACCCCAGAGTACAGAGGCAAAGAGAGTTCACTTTTCTCCTAAAGTCAGGGTGAAACGACTCATGAAATGATGTCTTGGTGTTGTGTCTCAGAATAAACTTCATGCAAACCCCCATTTTCTTCTGTTGATTGAAGTGCAAAACGCTCCTTGATACAAGAATACACTCATGAAATAGGAACGTTTCCTCATGCAAAAATGAAATTTGAATTGCCTTTGAATTTTTGCTTCTGTGCAAAAATGGCTGGAGGGAAATTAAAAAGAACTTCAGGATGTATGAAGCACACATGGAAGTTGCTGAAAAAAAAATTGCATGCTAGGAACATTGCATCACACTGCAGAGCGAACTAAAATTTCCTAGGGGTATAATCAGTTTATAGGTATGAAGGTAGTCTAATGCAGAAGTGTCAGTCATGAGATATTTTCCATAAGAATGTTGATTTCTAGAAATTAAGCCCTCCTTCACTCTTGATGTGGGCGGGACAAGGTGTTTGGAAACCCTGAGATCTGGAGATGAGGGATATGAGAACACAAGGCAGAAGCATGTGAAATTTTTTTCAAGTGCAGAATAAGGGGGACATGCTACATGACAAGACAAAGAAGGTATGCATAACTTAGCTTAACATTTAGGGGAGTCCGCGACGAAAGGTCTAATCATGAATAGTCCAGTAGTCAAAACGTCCACAATGGGTGCATTCGGTTGTGACCCGAGTCATGACTCGAGGGTCTCAGTTCAACGCTTGCATTGAAGCCTCAAAATAAATTTTACTCCATTGTCAATGTCATCAATCCTGGGTATAATAGTTTTTAAAAAGCACCGTACCTGCCGAGAATCGTGAACCTCGAGTCGTGAGTCAGCCAGGGTCACAACTGAATGCGCTCAGTATAATTGGTTCACGACAAGAAGGTCCACAGTCCAGATCGGCTAAAGGTCAAAAGGAGCAAATGCAAAAAAGTCCAAAGTTTGTTTTCCGTCCGTCTGCGAGAGAAGTTCCTCCCGATAGCTGTCAAAATTGTACGTTGTGGGCGATTCCACGGAGATACTGCATCATATCACGATTACTATCATCTTGTACTATTGACTTGAATCTGATTTTTTTTGTGAATTTCGTCTCGGCGTCTCTTCCTCATAGGATACCCCGCCACTACTCGATCTAGTTCCCTCTCGGTATTGGCTTGTTCTTTCTGCAATTCCTGAAGCAGTAGGAACACGCCGAGATACGATTTCCTCGATGAGGAAATTAAGCCTCCTATGCCAACCTTCGAAACCCATTCGTCGTCCACGGACCTGGCCGTGGTCGTCCTCTGACCCTTCTCCCGTCGATATAGTATTTAATTCATTATCCTGAGTCACTGCTCGTGCAGGAAATCTATCACTACACCGCCAGTGGGTGGTTTCTAAATTCCTTGCAACCGTATGTGAATACCCACCGTAGCAGAGAAGTTGGGCCCCTTTCTGTGTCTTAGAAAATATGAGTTTCTCCATGGTAATATCTTAGACACGATGCAGTCCACTCCGTTTTACACGGAGTGTAAAACGTAGGATCGAGGACTGAACGCATAGCTTTAGATGTTCTGTTTCCCTGCGTTGTTTCAATAACATCGTCTGTTCAAATTCCTACTTTCTCTCCACGATGCCGTTGATAGTCCTATACATTTCTTCCTGCTTGGATCAGATTTTGCGCAGTCGAACCTTGGAACATTTAAATACGATTTTGACCAAATGTATTTTCTCCCTTTTGTCCTTTGCACCTTAATAATATTGGACCATCCATCCAGTCGCCTAAAGATTTATTTTACTGCTGTTTCTTGCATTTATTCGACAGAAAAGTGGATCTGAATGTCAAACCTTAGTGTATGGACTATTGAGATTCAATACTGTAAATTGAGTTTCAGCTCAATATCTGTCTTCCAAATGATGAAATATGAAGATAAAAGCTGGAATTCTGATAAGATTCCCACAATGATCCTTATAAGTGCAGAGCCTGCTGAAGGTCATCTAAGTGCTGAAATGCATCAAGAATGCTGAACTACAAATATATAATGCATATACTGTTTAAAAAAAAGGGAGGGGTGGGGAGAATTTTCAGAAAAGGATTCCCTGACAATATGAAGGCAGTTTAAATGGGAATAATAAAATCTGATGACTCATGTAAGAATCACGATGAAATCCTTAACATTTTATTGGAGGAATTAGGAGTAGCTAGGGATTTGCACAAATTTTCCTATTTCAAGAATAAATTTTCAATCATGTAACATAAAAACTGACTTGGCTGGCATGAACTGGTGTGCCTAACCTTTCACCTAATTGCATGCAGCTGATTGTGTAGCCCCAGATCCACAGGATTGGAATGTAAATATGAAAGAAATGAAACACATCATTTTGCAAATGCACATTGTCAGTTCACTCACAGATCTTGGAAGTAAAGGCTGTAAGTGAATGCCTTCTTTTAATTTATTTCACCAAGATTTAAGTCAACTGGTTCTTCGTTCACTAGGTCCTCACAACAGAGAAACCCATGCATTCAATTCACATGCTTCAGGTGTCTTTCTATGAAGACAAGAAGTTTCAGAGAAGACCAGACACTCCAGATTACTCTTGTAATCCAGCCCTGACTGAGATCATGACATCATCACTGGGATGATGTTAAAAACACACCTCACACTCGCACAAGTGGATTTTGTCAATAGCTTTAATTTCCAACTTGCTGGACATGCAAGATCTGGGGCTGAGATGCAGTTCCAGCTCCACTTGCTGACAGTATTGTCACTGGTTGCTGACTGGTCTGAGCTTGATTACCTGCAGGCCTTAGTGTTCCAGAAGTAGGGCTCAGGGACAACTACAAACATAGCAAGGCAATGAAATAGTGAATAATGGTGAATTTTTACAATGAAACAAGTCCTCAGAAATCATCAACTTACAGGAATTTGTTGAACTTCTCCTGAAGGAGTGATGATTTGCTGCATGATCTGAATGTTCCCAGCTGCAGTTGCTGCAGCTGCTGCTGCAGGCAAATGAATCACTTGGCCTCCACTTGATATGACCTGAATTGTTCCCTGAGTGTTTCCTGAACTTTGCTGCTGCTGTTGTTGAGTGGCCTGCTGATGCTGCTGTTGCTGAGCTCCTTGAGATGCTACAGTTTGTTGCTGCTGCTGGTGTTGCTAAGAAAAAATGGAAAAGAAAAATCAGTTTTGCATATGCTGAAGCAGTGTTATTCCCCCGGAGTTTGAGCAAAATTACAACTTTGAGTATTAGGCCCAAAAGTTTGAGTCACAAAAAACAATTCCTAAAAACACCATTTGAGGATTGATGTTATTCTTGATGGTCTCATAAAGCACCAAAGGATGGGAGATTTTGAATGTACCACTCACTTGTTCTCCAATGGGTAAACCAACTCCAGAAGGGATGACAGCAATGGTCTGCACCTGCCCATTTGGCTGGACTATTTGCAATGTCTGTAGTTGATTGGTAACTGCTGCCTGGGCTCCTGTTGGATTCGTTTGCTGCTGTGCCAGCTGGAGATAATACTGAACCTAAACACAAAATTATTACCTACATGAGTTGTCTAGAGCACATCAGACCTAGTTTTATTAACTTGTTGATGCTTCAGTAGAATTTAATTTCCCTTCATGGATTATTAGCAGGTTATATCAGAAAGAAATATTAAAACTTCATATAGAATATAATTAGTGATATGTGCCAGTGCTCCTTTCCATAGTGATAAGAATATGCTTAATATGACTTTGGAAAAAAGGCAACAAAATAAAGACACAGCAGGAATGGGTTTCCGAAATGACGGAGGGCAACAATAATAAATAGTATGATCTTTCCTTGCCAAAAAAAATACACTAATTACAGTATTGGCATCAGCAGGCAGCCATGATCTGAATTAAAAAGTTGAAGGAGTGGGAGTGTCTATACTGGGGCTCTATTGGTGCAGTTTCATTGGAATTCATCATAATATTGGGATGAGGCTTTGTGTTAGAAGATGAGAGGGGGGAGGAAAAGTGTTTGGAGAGATTCAAAGAGCTGTGTTGTTTAGGCTAGGCCCATGAATCCAGTGAGAAACTCTAGACCAATACTTATGGTATGTTACTACGAATCCATGACAAAACATACAGTGTCAGTAGTAAGGCCAGTGTTCCTTTGGTCCTCCCTCTTAGGCTGCTTCAGTTCATCACGTGGAACAATGTCTATAAGGAAGTCAAATTGATCAAATTTTGTGATAGCCATGGCAATGTCATTCCGCTGCAGGGTACGTCTCTTGTTGTCTTCTGTGTGGACCCAGGCTCTCAAGGTCAGTTCATGGATGAAGATTTCTGCAGCCTTGGCAAACAGCACTGGTGCTTCAGCACTGATCATTTTCACATCCTCATCAAGTTTCATGATCTTCTTTATTCGAGCTAGGGGGAGAACTGAGGTCTTGAAGTCCTCCTGAAATTTTAAAGCAATGTTTATAATTAAAAAAGGTTATTACGTGAATATTCAACATACTGTATAGTCATGGATTTACTTTGAGACATTTACTTGTTCACTAAACTTCATGATTTTCTCACATGTCAAAAAAGATTAAATGGATAGGACAAAAAATAAATAAATCACCATCAAGAGCAAGGATGAATTGCAGTCAATATTCAAATCAAACTTTACTAACTTCATCGAAATAGGGTTGTGGAACAACAGCATAATCACTCTAATTCAGTACTTGAACTCTTTCAATAATAATTAGGGATGCACCAATAGCAATATCAAATGGATCAGTATAGACTGACACCAATATTGACAATCCATCCCAATTCTCCACTGCTGCATGACACAATTCCTCCAGCAAGTCAGCCTTTAGAGAGTGATTATTGCTCTGTTGCCATGTGTTCCTCTGAGAGAGCATAGGATTCTCATGTTCATATTTTTGAAAATGAATAAGTCTTTCCTGCCTATCTCCATTTCATAAATAAACTCTTGGGCACCAGGGATTAGTGCATTTCACTTCTGACAGCCACTGGATGATATTGATATTGCTATCAGTATTGGCCAATAGTAAAACAATGCAATCAGTATTGAGTATACCTCTATTTATGCATCCTTAATGATAATGCAGACTCCTTCATGTTACAATATCATCACAATTGCATGAAAATCATGAAATAGTGCATATAAGTAAATCACCTAATAAAATTTATATGGATTTTGATTACATTTATACAATGTTAATTTTGCCATCAAAATTTTGTCTTGGGTTCTTGTTCTCATTGTCGCACCACGTGTTTCCATTTTATAAACAACATTTTCCTGTCAATCACACTTCTCCTCTTTCCCAAGATGACAACCTTTGTACAATCAACAATGAGTATCATCAGGATGAAAAATGAACTTCTTTATAGAATTATGTGAACTTACAGTTCCCAAACTACGGATCTCATCGGCAGCTTTCCCCCAAAAAGAATTCAGCTCCTGCTGTGCATCTGTGAAGTTCGCACTCTCACCATCATGTGACATGATTGGGGCATGCAAGTGTTCTATTATGTCAAAACTTCAGCTTATTTCTATGCCTCAACTGACATGAACCTGCAGCAAGGAAAATGAATACAAGGGAATACATCAGATCAAAGAGGGTTAGCAACTGTCTATAATCTTAGAAAGAGATGGAAAACTTGGGAAAAGTTCCTGTCTTAAAGACAAGAAATTCTCATAAATATTTTGATATATTCTTGTAAGACCGTTACTTCAAGGTACAGAGCGTACATAACATGAAGACTGAACAAGGTCATGCTGATAGGCAGCTTCCTCCATGCGGAAGTCAAATTTTGCCACAAAAAGTCAGGACAGAGAATTAAGCCATCAACTTGCTAAGTCATGACACAGTAGGCCCTATGATAAATAAATAATCGAAGGACCGAGGTGGCCTAACAGAGCTACAGAGATGCAGTGCGCTCATGGTGACCATGGATCCATGAATGGCGCCATGACAGACCCCTTTTGAGTAGAGACCTCCATGGGGAGCGGGTCGGGTCGGCCCGATCTGATCCTCGGGCAGTTAAGTTAAGGGCAAAATTCCTGAGATCCTTCTTGGGGGTCGGGTAGGTTGGATCGAATTTTTTTTGCAGCATAATTTTTGTAATCTTCTCCTTAGGTTGGGACTATGAACAGTCTGCGCCGACACTGGGATCCCATTTACGCTATTTAATAAGAATGAATGAGACGCCCACCGGCTATGGCCGGTTGGCAGTTCCCCATTCAAAGCATAGCGATCTGAAAAAGTGAGAGCGACGAGTAACACTTTCATCTCGCGAAGAGGGCTCAGTATTGCAACTGCATACTCATCGTGGTATTCTCAAACACATGACAACAAGCGAACATGACCTTGAGATTTTTTTCGGGTTAAGTGGTGCCGTGAAGCTCAGTAGCCAATGGAGTCGGATAGGTGCGGGCCAGGCACGAATCAGACCGTCCAGTCGGGTTAAAATATTCGTCTCTTGCAGGCCTCTACTCTTTGGGGGTGATTTCCGTGCCATCTCTTGGTACAAGTACAAACTACACTTATATGTTTGAATTCGCACCCCTATTGAGCGCTTCCAATTGCAGGTAGTGAGGTATTCAACTAATTGGTTTTGTGTATAATCTGATGAAGCAGATCCTCTGGAAGATGTGCTTCCTCTGTTCTCCGATACCAAAGGTGGGGATGGGGGGGGGGGGGGGGGGGGGGGGTTCGAATTAGATCCGAAAACGAATCCAGTAGCTTCGTCAGAATCAACCGATCTCATGACTTGAACTCTCTCCATGTCGTGCATTTGACTGGTGAACCGGTCCAGGAGTTCACTTCATCTTCCAAATTTTCTCTCATTTATTAACTGCGCCCAGGGCCGGATTAAAAAGTTGCGAGGCCCGGGGCAAGTGAATTACTGGGATTCCCCCCCCCCTCCTCTCGCTACTTTACACAAATACAATACTTTTTTGGAACTTAACGTTTTTAATTTCCTTCGGGGGCGCCCTGGAAGAGTGGGGCCCGGGGGAACTGCCCCCTTTGCCCTCTCCTCCCCCCGTAATCCGACCCTGACTGCGCCACCTTTCTGAATTTTTATTTACTAAATCGAGAATCCAGGGATATTTCCCTTCGCGCTCTTTCAGTCAAGGATGAAACTTCGCGATGTCGACGACAGGCATCCTTCCTACCGAGAGGTCTCCGAGTCGACCAACGACCCCCGTCGTGCTCGTAAGTCCAAGTCGATCGTCTCATCCTCAGGGATCTATTCGCTGTCGTGCGAGCTCGAAGGACAAACGGAAGAAAGCGGAAGGAATCGCAGTCGGTCCAGGCCCGATGCCGCGTCTGCATCGAGAGATGCAAAGAAGCAGGAAAACCTTCCTCCGAAAACGACCTTTTCCCTTCATCCGGATAGAATCGGCAAAGCCCCTGAACCGTGCAACTGCGATGTGAGGACAGCCGACTGTGCGTCGGCAGTCCTCACATCCCAAGCAGTCCTCCGTGGCATCTACACCTGGGTGGCCCGATCACAGTGAATTCTCTGCACCGGCAGGAAATTTACAGGCTGTCGCATCCACTAAAAGTTTGTGGTTTTCCGAAAATTTCGATGAAAATTTGGATCATTCAGAACTCAAATAACAACTTTATTTTCGGCGCGGCCTCAAATTCGTCTTCCTGTTCAGTTCAAGGTCGGTAGAACGGTAGGTAGGGGAAATCTCAACAGTAGCTGCTCTCATTTCCGCTACGTTGGAATCCCAAAATTTATTTATTCTTCGTGACGGAAACTCGACGTTAATTGACAACGCATGAAATTTCTGCGCATGAGGGGAGCCAGCACCTGAGCTTAACCAGACTGGATTTAACCAGTATATCGTTGCTTGTATGAATTCGTCTAGTCTCGATGAAAGCAGAGCATTCATTTCAAACATGATGGCATGGATTCTCATCACGAAATGCTGACGGTGAAGGAAGATTTGATGCTGACATCAAGAGTAATGAGGAGCTGCTCGATATTCTCGTCGTACTCGAACACCAGATCCTCCGAATCGTTCAAGATCACCGAGGTCGGCCTCTGAGACACGCCGAGGACCTCGATCTCGTTCATCCTCGCGTCCGGCGAACCACCGTCCGTTTCCACAACGTACTCCAATCTCCCCTGAAAGGAAGCCATCAAGATGAAGGCCCATAGACTCGAGGGAACGCAAACGAGATAGCCACATCTCCAGAGCTGCCGCAGTCTTGCGGGAACCCTAGCGGACTGTGGGTAGCCAGTTTTGACGTTTCGGAATACGAAACTATCGGTTTTTAAGAGTAACACCCCCACCCTCGCCTACGGCCACGAACTGTATTGACCGAATGAACGAGGTCTCGGATATAGGTTGCATCGGTGAGGTTCTTGGGGCGGAGGACCACTGATTAACGCCGAGAGAGAGGATGCGGATTTCGACGCGTCTCCCGCATGCTGAGTAAGAGACTCCCTGGAAGAATCTGCGAATCCAAAATGACCGACAGAAATCGAATGCAAGGTGGATGGCTTGGTTATCCACCTGCTGAGCAGGTGGAATGCCAGGTCCGTTGCTCAGGATAGGGAACAGCGAAGAATGCTTCTGATCCTGCTCGAGCCGTGGCCCCATTTGGTTAGGGCAAGCAGCTTCGAAAATGCGTTTACTGAGTCAGTATGAATGTTAAAAGTAGAGATTTGCATGCATTTCTCAGCATAATCATTTCATCACAATGCCTTCATTTCAAGACTTTACTTTCACGCTTTCTTAAAGAAGTCCAGACAGGAACATATCTCAGGCAAAGGAAACGCCAACCACAAAGGACAGCAAATTTTTAATTCAACTTTTTAACTCAACGTAAAACGATCGAGTCGCTCGAGAGAGAGAGAGCTCTTCGAAAAAAATAATAAATAAAAACAAAACAGACCTTTCCGATTGGGAGCGGGAGGAAGGGGACAGGGCAGGCTCTGAGACCGAACCCCGGCGACCCCGACGCCGAGAAGCACCAGACACCCCAGCGCGTTCATCGCGTCCGGTTCGTCCAACTGCTGCGTCGGTCGTCGGATGCCATTATATCCTCTTGCGTGAGAGAATGTTTTTTTTTTCTCTCTTCTTATCGGCGATGTTGCAAGGACTTCGGGTAAAAATGCACCTGTTCCCTCGGTAGCTTCTGGAGTCTTCGAGATAAAGTGTCAAAAATAACTGCGTAAACGTGGAACAGCCGTGCACGTGACTGCCCCCTCCTGTTTCTCAAGTAATTTTCTCTAGTAAGCATTATTTTACTCACCTGTGCTGCCAGCAACAAAGTAAACTGGGGTGGAGGAATGCAGGCGACTAATTTCTTTGCTAGCGGAATTCGGACGTAGCTGTCGCGAGCCTGGTTACGTAACACTGGAGGGCCCAGAAGGCCATTTTCCTCGAGCGTCGGGGCATGCGCCCTATGCGGTCGCGCACATGCGCCCTATGCGGTCGCGCACATGCGCCCTATGCGGTCGCGCACATGCGCTTTGCAACACGGCTCGCCGCTAACGTGTTCCACGTTTTGAGGTTCTAGCTTTATATTGAGGCATTTCTTTCCGTGTAGAGATCTCCAGGCCAAATGGCCAAACGAACCATGTCATCCACGTCGTTTTCACTTGTGAGGAAATGTGCAGTTGTGAACCACTGCTTAGTATGCTGAAACTGTTCTGGGAAGTTGCTAACTGATGGGACGAAAAAAAAAGAACGTAAAAATGCGGTGAGCATTTCCCCTAGCACTCGCACGAGCATCATACTGGAAATATTTTCGATTTTCTTTCATGCTTTACAGGATGTTCGACCGAACTTCCAAGATGAAAAACGGCTTTAGCTTTCGTAAGTGGGCACGTATCATTAGAAATTCGTCAAAATGTCCCGGTTTGATTTCCAGACGATCTCAACTTGTCAGACCGGAGCATGAATTCGCATTCTTCCCGTGACCTTGAGATGTTTTAGAGGGACAGTCGCCCATCCGACCTAGCGAGATTCCAGTCTCAAACGTGACATTTTGTGACGCCTGGAGGGGAGAGCTCATGGGTCGCAGTAGCTGGCGAATTGTGAGCTAATTTTAAGCGCTGATCCTACTCAGGCGTTGTCTTCAGTAAGGAGAGGATTTTTATTCAAAATGTGGACATGAATATGCGCGTAAAATGCTAAAATGTACGGGAAATATGCGTGAAAGTGAGAAAATATGCAAAAATACGTTCATTTTATTCCAGAATGTATTTCCTTGGAAAAGGAGACTGCAATGTACGTTTCATATCTTCAAGCTTCCCCTTCCCCCCACAGAGGGGAGCGAGGGGGCGCTTGGAGATAACGTCAGATGCTGATAACGTCAGATGATAACGTCAGACCCATCATGCCTGCTGGGCATGATGGGTCTAGTCTTTCCAGCCGGTCGCAGCGCGGCTGTTGGGAAAATTTTCAAGGTTGTTCATAAAAAAAAACCATTTCCATGGAAAACGCAGGAAATGGGCGAAATATACGTGAATATGCACGCACATATGCATCAATATGCATATTCTAAGAAAAACACCAAAATATGCACATCGATGTGTTCATTATTATTATTATTAATAATACATGCTCCTACGAGCACTTTTTTTGCATGTTTGCAACATGCAAACATGCAAAAAAAAATCCGCTCTCAAATGAGAACACTCGACCTTGACACGGGCCGTCATTCACTTCACGTTCCGACCCGAACCTTGAACTTGTAATATCTCTTCATGCCATCTACAAGAGTTAGTAACCCTGTGTTCATTCAGAACCAGATTTCAAATCTCATCAATGCCATCTTGAAGCGAAGAAAACCGGAGGGGGGGGGGGGGGGGGGGGGGTTGTGCAAGAGGATCCCAGGAAGAGGCGCGACGGGGCCTGGACCATCCATTTACCACTATTGTGATGCGCAATTTCAATAAACTACGTTTGTATATGCATTTCTTAATGTTCCCTTTCTAATTCACCGTAGTCAAGACGCAGAAGGAATGACGATTTAAGTGGAGTGGGAAATAACGTTGGCATAGCAAGGCTTCTCCTTTACAATACTGAATGAAAGCAATCTCTTTGGGGAGGTGTAGAAATCCGGTCTTTTTTTGCTCGTTTCCATTGGCGATCTCTGATGATCTCGACGACGCTGGTTTGGAAACGCTCAGTTCATCTCGTTGAATTTCAGCAAGCCGCTTTGGCATTTAGCTGGCTCGTGCAGATCTGCTTCGACCTAGCTTTGAAGCTTAATTGGGCTTAATTAATCTCAGTTTTGAATTGTGTTGGTGCACCTTTTACCTGCACGAAGAAATATCTTCGGTGTACCCTGCTCTTTCCCAAGAATGAGGAATAATACGGAAAAAAAGATCATAGTTTCCTATATCAAGTGGCAAAGGCGTACAGTTTGTTGCTTGACTGAACCGATTTTGTTGAAAATATAATCGAAGAAATTGAAGTCCGTTGAAACGGGACGTCATGATTGGCAAAAGTGTCTCTTGATATGTCCCTTCCCGGAAGGTTGGGCTTGGAATAACTGGTTAATTCGTGACTGCATTAATTATTTGTATCTGGAAGCAAGCCGAATAATCATTTCAAACTTGTGATTGCATGAATTTTCGTAATATCGATGAAAGCATAGTATCGATTCCCAAACTGACATGAAAAACGTTCCATTCATGAAATGCTGACGGTGAAGGAAGATTTGATGCTGACATCAAGAGTAATGAGGAGCTGCTCGATATTCTCGTAGTACTCGAACACCAGGTCCTCCGAATCGTTCAAGATCACCGAGGTCGGCCTCTGAGACACACCGAGGACCTCGATCTCGTTCATCGTCGCGTCGGGCGCACCACCGTCCGTTTCCACAACGTACTCCAATCTCCCCTGAAAGGAAGCCATCAAGATGAAGGCCCATAGACTCGAGAGAGAAGGTGGAGGTCAGTGATTGGAATGCACCTGAGCGAAGTTCATTTTTGCGTAGAGGCCCTCTGGTTCGAAGGAGTCTCCGTCATCCCAGTAGAAGGAACCCATTGCGTCTCCGCTCGAGGACAGGGCGACCAGAAGTTTCATCGGATTCTGTCGGCTACGATGTTTCGAAAATAAATTCGTACCACCTTTAGCGTCGTTTACATTAGTATCTGGTAATTCCAATGAGTAGAGTGAATTTCTCCCATCAAACAGAGACTAAGTCTACTTTACAAGTGGCACGAAGCTGCCCGTAAATCAAGGTAGACGCGTATGCGTCAAGAATCATTATTCTGCGATTGGCATTTCCAAACAGAGGAAAAGCGAATACCGAGACAGCGGTTAGACCTGAACTGACCTGAGCATGGTTGTGACATTTGGTTCTTGCATGGGGAAAATTCCTCCTCCTTTCATATGAACTGGGATATCCATCAATGGGACGTTTAAGTTCGTAGTGATTGGTCCCTCGAATTCCATAGCTCGAGTATAGTAATTATACCAACGAGCCGCAGGGAAATGAGCATTACGAGACTTCAAAGGTGTATCGGTGATCACGGGGGATATGAGGAGGTTTGATCCCCAGAGGAACTGGTCGTCGACTCCCCTCGCCACGAGGTCAGTGGGAAACTCGGCCAACAAGGGCCTCACCACGGTGGAACCATCTCTGTGGGCCTCATAGAACAGGGTATAGAGATATGGTAGGAACCAATATCGGATGCTTAGAGCCAGACGAGACGCCTTGGCAACTTTGTCCCAGAGGCCTGGATCTTGTTCCCCGCTGAAATTTCCATTGTGGTTACGAGAGAACGGATAGAAGGCGCCTATCTGCATCCATCTCAGACACATATTCTCGGATGGAAGATTAAAGTAGCCGCAAATGTCAGATCCGCTATATGGTATCCCGAACATGTTGAACTCGAGCATGTCTGCATGGATAAGTCCATTCAAGTATTAACGAAGAATTGCAATGATCTTTTACGGGAGAAAGAAAGGTTAATTCATGCCCTGCAGAGAGTAGAGAAATATACTAATTCAACGCTTGAGTCTTTCCATTCCAATTATACTTAACCAACGTCCCGCGTCGTAGCATGTTCGTTTCGGGAACATCGTCAAAATAGTATATCAAACCAACTTGATTCTGAGTCCATGTGTAAGGAAGAGAAGAAGGAGAGACAAGCCAGATGGTGAAGAGTCACTATCTTCCCCAGCATAAAAAAGAACCACTTCATTCAGAAATGACTTTTCTCTCCAATGGCTTGTTAATGGAATCGAAGGAATGCTGATCTGCTCTGCGGCATAAATCAACGGTAAACACTCTCTCAATTGCGTCATCTACAATTTTCTCAAGAATGTTTCTGCGATATTGCACCAGAAACCCACCTTGAGCAGCAGCTCGGTTTCGATCTACAATGGAAGCTAACATAGAACCCAGTTAAGTATCTTGACCGCAGCTTTGAATGGAGAGAAAGTGAATTCATTGGGGTTCAAATATGGTGCTGCATGGTGGAAGGAATTTGATGACATGGGATGGGTATCGGGGAATTAACCTTCGGTGAGTCAATCAGCTGTCCATGAAGACAGCTTCGTTCTCTTCCTCGATGAAATGAGTGACATGATAGGGCCTATCATGTCACTCATTTCATCGAGGAAGTGTTCAAAGATTCCTCAAGTGAGACCTCTATACAGCTTCTTCGACTGTATGAGGCCACGAGTGGGAGAAATCGCCGAAAAATAGTCAACGAAGCGAGTCAATTCTGAATGAAGTCGTTCGTTCATTCCATGCGGTGCAAGGAGATCGGGTTCACTGGTTTATTCTCCCTCCCTATCTGAATAAGAATTCCTTGAGGGGGAGTGCTCACCCCTGTTCATCCCATCCGTAGAGGAGGCTTTTTCTTCATCAGAATCAAGTTGGTTTGGTATATTGACAATGAAATGAGACGTACTGATGATGGAACGATGGATGTCTTCCCATATTGCAGAATTATCCCCAGACCAATGACCCACCCATTGACCACTGCCCGGGTACGTCGACCTGGAGATGACAATGCTTCTAGTACCCGTCGCCTCCCTCGTCGCTCTGTATTGCAAAGAGTTAGGAAGGTCAATATGGGTCATTCATTCCTGCCCAGTGATACGAGATTGTCGTCTCGTAGAGAGTCGGTAAGCACCTGAGTGTAGGCTCGCTCTGGCTCCAGCCGTACAGGCTATGAACGTTGTAATGGAGCTCTTCCTTTCCTTTGATCTCGTGGACCCCAGTGAAGCAGACTGTCTTGTCCGCCAGCGTCCCACTGCCTGCTCCAAATTGAACGATTCGTGTCGGGTAAGGAGGATTGTCCCATTTCGTCTCTGGGCATTTCAGGCTCCAGGATGGTTTATCCTCGGGCCAGTTCCACGGTTCCACCAGGTTCGTCCCGAAATTCGCCGGTTCGTTCATGTCGATCCATAACCCGGCGAATGCAAGTTGATTGGCGTGGAAATCTGTGATTTCGGCGACCCACCAGTCTGCTGTAGCAAGCTTGAAGAAGTCTGGGAAGACGGTTTTCTCAGGAGGCCACACGTATCCCAACATGTAATTCCGTGCATTCGGTTCCTGGTCATCTGGGACCAAGGATTCGTTGGCCCATTTCATGAACACGTCCGCATCGAATCCGTGTAACGCCGGTGGATAGTTTTCCGTGAAGTCCGCCACTATAGCTGGATCCTGAAATTTCAAAATCATCTCTTGGCCTTATCCTCTTTGAGAGGCGAAGATCTTTCTATCCCAATACCCCTATGTAAGTCTGAATATCGGGAAAGGCAAACAAATGAAGTGTCGCTCTCTGAGGTTCTTTAGAGTTCATGAGATAAGAGAAAGCCCGTCAACATATATTTTTGTAAATATGTTGACATGCTTTGTCACCCAGTATACTCGGGAATCGATAGATGTCACCACACCAAGAGCGTATTTAATATACCTCCGTCTGGTGCCTCCATTCGAATTGCACCAGTCAGAGCATCTCTAGCTGGCTAGAAACTATTTTCCATCAGGCAGAGATATCCATTGGATGTGCTCGGTGCCAGTATGCAAGCCAGTGCTCATCCTCCTGTGAAGAAGAGAGCTCTACTCGAAGAATGGCCCTTTATTCTAGATGCGATATTGGGTCTGAAAAAGGAAACCGTGGACGAATCTCTATCCCAGTGGTTCTCAACCTCTCTTATGGCACGGCCCACTTAGCCTCAGCAAGTACGTAGGTTGCTACCGGTTATGAACTATATGCCCTATGCTACATGTGTTTCCAAAATATGCATAGAATTTAATGATTAATTCCACCGTAGCACCTATTCCTGAGTCGGAAGCTTTCCCCCCCCCCCCCCCCCAAAAAAAAAGAATTTGAGGCGCATCTGAGAATGAAATGTTAGAGAGTCCGATGGGAGGAAACCTTCATCGTTTAGGTTTTCTTTCATGAAACCCTTCCTACGCAGGCCTAGTAATTTGTGGAGTGCCAAATGGTGAAGTCTTCGATGTGGGACTTTTCCTACGTCAATTAGCAACGGATACATACTGGAATAACTGGGACGGGCTGTTAGAAGAAGCTCCGGAAGAATATCGCAATTCACAGAAATATCGTCGAGATATCGATCGAAACTGCGATATCACGATTATCGGCTCGAAACTGTTACTGACGGACCAGAATGATGATGGTCTTGATGCCTTGGGCTGCAATTTCTTCCACGTATTCACTGAATCCAGTCCAGTTAGTCGAATTGAGAGTGAAGTCCATCCTGTAGTCCATGTAATCGATGTCTGCATGCACCGCGTCCTATGGTGAGGAATGAAATTCACGCCATCCTCATTTCCCTTGTCATCCGAGGAGATGGTGATGGAGACGGAATGGTGTGGCGGAAACAGAAAATTTTCATTTGGGGAGCGGTTCCCGAGTTCCTACCTACCCCCCCCCCCCCCCCCCCCCCTCCCCTCCTCCTGGATCCGCCACTGGATTGATGTTCGAATGGACTCACGAGAGGGATGCTTTCATTGATTGTTCTTTGGACGGCGTTCTTGAATGACTCCAGATTCGGATGGCCATACCGAGAGATTTGGAAGCCCAAAGCCCAATAGGACGGCATCATGGGCCTCCCGATCAGCTGCAACATCATCCACGTGACACCTTTCTCATGTATAACGAAGAGCACACCACCGCCCTAGATTGAAGCACGACTCACTTCGGTGTACTCCTTAGTGATGGAATCGTAGCCTGGTCCCATGAAGAGGTGGAAGTCAAAAATGCCACCGATGGAACGAAGGGTCAAAGATGGGTTCTCACCACTCGTTCGACGCAGTTCATACTCTATAAAATCGTACCGGCACTCGTTTTTTAAAGTTCCTTTTCAAAACAGACTGAAAAGCACAACCAGGCCCGCTCAAAGGCGGGCGGGTGGGGGGGGGGGGGGGGGGGGGGGGGGGGGGGAACGAANGGGGGGGGGGGGGGGGGGGGGACATCGGGGACAATCTGCCCCGAGCCTCTCGTATGAAGGTGCCTTAAGGGGCTTCCAATGAGACCCAATCACAAGGTCTCAAAAGGGCCCATCCAGCCATCCTCATCCATACAGTGGCCTCCAAGGGGCCTCAGGCCTCTGGAAAATTGTGGGCGGGCCTGAGCTCAACTACCATCCCTTCCCGTCTGCCTGTCCGCTTGTGTGCGAGGTTCTTTTTCTCGTTATCCGGCATTGAATAAAAATAAGTTGCATCTCCATCGTGGTGAGATTTAAATTGGGACATAGGCTAGATTAATCGTTTTTCGTGAAGTTTCGAGTGAAGAGTTTCCATTCCAGCCGCAGCGTCGATTTCGCACCCATCTCGACATAGGGCGTCAGCCCAGAAGTGACTTGGTGAATCTCCCGCTTCCCCTCCAGCCCTTTCAGTCATTATCACCCTCCACCTCCTACAAACATACCTGGTCTCGCGCTATCCTCCATCCTACATGCACCGCTCGACGCCACCAAGCTGAAGGCTTTCGCTGAGTTTAAACTGAGCATCAAGAAGTCTCTGCGGTGAATTTTTTCAATGAGGTGATTGGTGTTTGGTTTTTAATTGCAATACACAAGCCGCTCTTGCGGACGGATGCTTCACTCACCCATGGGATTGCTGTTGACGAAAAAGACTCCGTGAGTTTTCCCCTCTGTACCTTCCATGCAGTGATAGAAGGGATGGACTCCATACAGATTTTTAGTTCCCTGCAGGAAAACAAATCCGACAAAAAATCCCATGGAATAACTGTTTCCAATCTAAAATCAGCTACTCTCAACATTTGGACAAGTTCGCCTTTCAAATAGTGTCCCTAACTTCACTTGGGGGTTTCAAATATATATAACTCAAAACGGATGTGCAATTATCTCTTCCTCCAAAAAGATATGCTATCAACAGAAATTGTAAGTTTTTGCTCATAACTCTAAAGGTTTCTCCAATACACAGCCGGAGGCGAAACGTACAGCATCAGGCAAATTTTCAAGCAACGCCGCCAGCTGTCCATGGGAGAAGACGGTGGGCGCCTGTAGTTTACTCTTATAGAGACTGAAGTGTGATAAGCAAAAACGTATATCTTCGATTGATATCGCTTGCAGGAATAACGCATTGCCGTTGTGAATCCTCTGCAAATGAAATCCTCAAGTGACTCGAGGACACGTCGTATATGCATGTGCGACTGAATCACGATGACTCGGGAATAGACCTCGTCTTGAAATAGTCAAGGAGTTTACCCCGGTAGGAGGTTCATCCTTGGCAGACAGGACGAAAGTGAGAGCAGCCGAGAAATCATGAAGGAAGGTCTCGTGCGTGTTCTCTCCGAATCCATACACGTCTTCGGACGGGAGGAGGGTGGAGATCTGCAGGAACTGGTCCTCGAAGATCACACGACCCACCGAGGTGTCCCATCTGAATAATCAGCATCAATGTTATGGAGCTAATCTATTGCCATGGTGATTTGTTTATGTGACTTACATTACTGTGCCGTCATCTTTCGATCCACTCTTTCGGTCTACTCTTTCGATCCGGAATCCGAAGGGAGATCCGATACTTTCACTGTCGAGAATCAAATTGTACTGGGGTTGGTTCGGAGAATACTCAACGTAGTTCCATTCTACCGGCACTTCGAATCTCTCTGAATCCGCGTCGTAAATCTGGGGAAAAGCATGCGTTTTCATGCAGATCGTCAAGCTCCCTTCCGTAGTACTCAAATTCTTCGGAAGATTACCTTGAATCGGAGATGAGTGTTGGAATATTGAAAGACCTCAAAGTAAGCATTTTGAATCCCTTCTGAGAACATGTTTGTTTGGATGGATCTCCGAAGTGGATATCGATACCCGAGTTCAGTTTCCTCTCGGGCTCCACCGATGACGAAATCCGAGCCATCTTGCAGGTCACAAGAACGTCCATCCCATGTGCAGACGCCTAAACTCGAGCATTCGTATTCTGTCGGAAGAGACGATGATTCCGTTAGCGTTGCAATTCAACAATGACACTAAGTGTCTCGGGAAGGAAATAGAAGTTGTTACAGTGACAAGTTTCTGTGAGAAATACATATTTAAACTCTGATGCGAAACGTTTTTTCTCAAACGCATGTTTTTTTTTCAAACTCATGTCTCAATGCATTCTCGAAAAGTTCAATCCCCAAGCCCCATAAAATTGTAAACAGTGCGCTCTTCCATCGTGGAATGTGGCCATGAGAGTCGACCAGTAGAGACCACTGAGACAAATGAGGATTCTCCTCACCGAGATCAATCTTGCAGACAAACGATCGCGTCTCGTTGCAGAGAATGTCGTTCCATTTGCCATGTGCTGGATTGCCCTCCCAGTGCATCATCTCCACGCACATCTCATCTCCCCCACTCGGCTCCCCAGCATTCCAGTTGGTGAAGTCTAGAGGAGATCCGTCC